ATACTATCTTTTGATTGTAAGAAGCTTCTGTCAAAGTTTGGTATAAATCCAGGATAGTGTATGAATCTAATAAATGTTTTAAAAACTTTAACTGCAGACTGTATTTAATGTTAACTGGAAGAAAAACTAAGTCCATTTATAAGTAAAATACGGATAAACAGGTACAAATTTGAACAAAATTTCCTTCTAGATACTAGCTTTTGATCATAAACAAGCTTCTGTCCACATTTGGTACAAATCCAGGATAGTTTTAGAAAGTTATTAAAATTTAAAAAACCAGAGTGAAAATATTGTTTCCTGGCAGAAAAACTAAGTCCATTTATAAGTAAAATACGGAAAAAATAAAAAAAATTTTTTAACAAATTTACTTCTGGATACTATCTTATGATCATTAACAAGCTTCTGTCCAAGTTTGGTACAAATCCAGGATAATTTAAGAAAGTTATTAAAATTTTAAAAACTTTAACCACAGAGTGAATGTAATGTTTCCTGGCAGAAAAACTAAGTCCATTTACAAGTAAAATACGGAAAAACAGGAATTTTATTTTTACAAAATTTACTTCTAGATACTATCTTATGGTCATAAACAAGCTTCTGTCCAAGTTTGGTAGAAATCCAGGATACTTTAAGAAAGTTATTAAAATTTCAAAAACTTTAACCACAGAGTGAATATTTGTGGAAGCCGCCGCCGACAGAATGTAGGATCGTTATGTCTCCCTTTGCGACAAAAGTCGCAGGCTCGACAAAAACAACAAAATTAAATATCCATAAACATGCAAGTTTTCCTTAATCCATGAAAATTGGTACCCACGAAAATAAATGAATCCACAGTAAACATTTAGAATTAGTAGAATTTAGTGCTTTCAGATTGTGGTTAAAAGTACCCCCATCTTTCCTTAAAATACATAATACATTAATGGAACAGTAATTTTGCACACTGTTGAAGCATGTTTTGTTTAAATACTACATACAGCATACCTGCCAACATTTCAAAATGCCCATGGGGGTTTTCTGTGTGAGATGGGTCTTAATAGTCCAACAAAACCTTCAATGGGTCCTTCAAATGTATTTTAATGTTGTTTTTTTTGCTTCTTCATACTTTTACTATCCTATAACCATGGTAAAATTGATTGTTTTGTTTTAAATTGTCGACAAAATTGCTCTTTCAAAATTTCCATTTGGGAACTGTCATGGGGGAAATCCCCCACAAATAGTGACAGTTGGCAGGTATGCATACAGATATATATCTACCTGTTTGTGTACATATGTTTATAATGAATTCAGTTTCTTCAGGTTCCTGACAATCTTTCAAGCCAAAAAGATCCAAATCTTTAGGCCACACCGATTTGATTTTTAGTTCTTCGGACAAAAGCTCCAAAAAATGTGGGGCGAGCGAGCGAAATTTTTTTGATTGTATTTATTTCTTGAAAATGAGTTTTGTTGAGGCGGGTGCTCTACAGGTGGAGCGAGCGGTATAATATTTTTTTTAAATTGTTCGATTTAGAATTTTATGTACATGTAAAACTGGTTACTTCAAAGAAAAAGGAAGATAAACATGCTCTTATTCATATAATTTGATGTATTTGTGCCTGTAGTACAGTCTGTACCATACACAACTCTCTGGTTCGCTTTGGTTTAGTATAATTTTGATTATTTTCGTCAAATAAGCTTTGACTGCCGCTCTGCGTGAATTTTCATTAAAAATTAAATTCATACATGTGTATATATTAAGGAAGCATAGCAGATGCAGTTTAGCAAGAGGAATTATGTTAGTGAGGTGAATTTAAATGAAATGTGTTGAATACAATTAAAATATGTGTATGTATTACAAAACTGAATGCCCTAGAAAAATATTAATTATCTTTTAATTTGATATAGTTGTTTTTATTATATGGTAATGATTGTTTAATTGGCTGCTTGACATCCAGTTGGAACTATTTATCCATAATAGGATCAACATAATGTTTAAGGTGAATCGTTCAACAACATCCTCAGTAAGATAGTTATATTGCTATGCATGTAGATCTCAATTTATTAAAAAATTCCCTTAAAATACACATGCATTATTCTGACTTAGCAAAATACTTTTTCCTTTTGCCCCTGAAACCTGCAATGTATTTTAAACTGTAAGTGGTTGCACCAATAACACATCCCTAATTATTATTAGCATGCCAATCCCAATACCACCACTTTGGTCTCAAACGTTGGAACTTTTAAATTTTCCCTTACAAAAGAGTTCTGATTGCATGTCAATAGACTAACAAGGGGATATGAGGTTTTCATCAAAATAAGATAAATCTGTCATTTTTTAAAAACTCGTGTGAATTTAATATTAATTTCATCCAAGACTTCTACTTCTACTTCTACTTCTACCAATACGCGGCCACCATCAATAAGTTGATTATTTTGCCACTTTTTGGATGCGCATTTAAAATTTAGACAAAAAATAGATATTGATTTGATTTGAATTTGTGCTATACATCATATATACAGTGAATTTAAAAACATCTTGGCGTTGATCTAGTTCATCTCATGCAGGTAAGTCTTGAAGCATTCAAGACTACCTGTATTGGTGGCAGTATGTGGTAGGGCATTCCAGTCTCGTATCGGCCTTGGGTAAAAAGATTCCTTCCGCACTTCGGTCCTACAAGATGGTACTTGGTATCCATTTGTGTTGATGTTTCTGGATAGCTTATCTGGTGGAATGAGAGTATTACTGGTGTCAACTTTCACCATCCCGTTAGACAGAACTGGTGTCAACTTTCACCATCCCGTTAGACAGATATATCTTTCTATGTCTGTTGTAATCCTAGATTACTCTGACGTCCAACGTCCAACGGCTGTTTTGCCAGACAAGCTGGAGCCGTGGGACAACAGCGCTCCATCTTGTCTGGCAAAACAGCCGTTGGACGTCAGAGTAATCTCGGACTACGTCTGTTGAAACAATGATCGGGGATGACAATGGTTCTAACTTCTAACAAGTACTAATGTGATCGTGGTCACCTAACGAAAGATTTTTTTTATTTTTGTCTCCTATAACAGGTCTTCATAGGTAAAACGAAATGCGTTTAAAATAACTGTGTTTAATAACTACTTGTACTTGGCAATGATCTGACACAACTTCATTTTGGCATCCCGATTTTTTACCTTTTATTTACAAATCGATTTACCACACGTGCGTTTGAATCGATCAGAGCAATATATGCACAAGAAAAACTTCTTAAAGAAAAAAAAATATCAAGGATAAACTAATTTTGGAGCAGCATGCGGCCCAAAAATTGGCGGAAGCGGTAATTATTTTTTTTTATTGAAAAGTCAATTTCTCCAAAACAGGAGCGGGAAAATCCAAAGAACTATTAATCAAATTGGTGTGCCCTTATCTGCATAATAAAAAAAAACTTAGGCCAAATAAAAATATATGCATGGTTCCAGTTACATTCTCAAAAGATACGGTCGCTAGGTTGGCATTGTTTTTTGGGATTGTCAAAATCCAAAAAAAAAATTGTGTGTCACTGAGTCCGATTCTGGTATTGTACACACCCCTACCGCAAGTTTGACATTTTCTATATTTTTCGGTTTTAAAATAAACAGACATGTTACGTTTTTTAGTTAATTTTGTTGCATTCTGTTAAGAATTTGTTGCATTTTTAGCCTTAGTGGATAATTTCATTGGAAATTCTTATGACAGAAGTCTGTGAAATTAATTATTGAAATTCACATTCCATAAAAGGGGATCGTTCAAAATTTATTTTACAGAATTAAAAAGAAAATTTCTAGGGTGGGTCTGGTTACTGGTTTCACACAAATATTTTTTTTATTTTGCCTTGTTATTCTAATGGGAATGATGGCAATTGGTCATATTTTAATCGAGGTAGGTTTTGAAAATTAGAATCAAAATGAAGGCAATAGTATGTGATTTAAAAAGAATTTTTGTTTCTGATTGTTGTTAACATATAGTTCATTTTTTATGCCAGGACTGAAGCTGAGGGGGCATTAAGTGTTGTCCATCTGTATGTACATCCCAAAAGTGGTTACCATTTTTAACTTTGCCTCAATCAAATGTTTTAAAACTTATACACAATGCTAATTACCACAAAACACTGTTCAGCTTTGAATTTAAACTGCATCAATTTACTGTTTGTCCCTTTATAATGTTAATATATACAAGCAGGGTCATCATCTGTGTCACATTCTCCATTTATTTTGAACAATTGTTTTTAGAATCAGAACTAGGTACTGATGCCCCAATGTTCCAATAGTTGATTTGTTTGTTGATGCAGTGCATTTTTGTTTTCATTTGGTTGTATTTTCCAAGCATTTTAAATCCAACAATCATTTGCTCTCTCATACTGTTCAGTAAAAGACCTGTTTCCTGGATTTTCCATTGCAAGTCTTCTGTATTTTGTAAAACTTTTAACTTCTCCACCTGTTCCTAGAATTGTATCAACCAGTGTTGTTGTTATTTTGTCTGGAAAAAACGATTTATTGATTTATAACATTAAAGAAGACTCTGATAAGACTAATGATTTGTAGATCAAACAGAGGTTTTTTTTTAATATTTTATTGTTTAATGTTGATTATCTGCATAGGGAATCATTTATATTGGGATATTATGACAAAAAAAGGCTAGTTTAGCTAGTGCATTCTCAGATAGTAGCCTGGAGACTCCAGACCAATTTAACAAAAATATGTTTTGGAGAATGCTTCATTTAAACCCAATTCACATTCAGCTGTGCATATATTTGTGACTGCATGTACTTTAATTCAGGGCACACATAGGCACTAGACTAGGATGTAATTGGACTTGCATGTACTTTCTTGCAATCTCTTGAAAAATCATACATAAACATTTAGAATTAGTAGAAATTAGTGCTTTCAGACTGTGGTTAAAAGTACTCCCATCTTTCCTTTAAATACATAACACATTATTGGAACAGTAATTTTGCACACTGTTGAAGCATGTTTTGTTTGAATACTATATACAAATATATATGATCTACCTGTTTATGTACATATGTTTATAATGGATTCAGTTTCTTCATGTTCCTGACAACCTTTCAAGCCAAAAGGATTCATATTTTCATCTGCATATTAAAAAAAAACACCAGCCAAATAAAAATGTATGTGTGATTCTAATTATATATTCTCGAAAAAAGACAGGGTTAGTATATCTGCATTTTTTTTTTTTTGGATTGTCAAAATCCAGAAAAAATATCGTTCTTTCACTGAGTCTGATTCTGGTATTATACACGCCCCTACCACAAGTTTGCCATTTTTTATATGTTTAGTTGTAAAATAAACAGACATGTTACATTTTTAGTTAATTTTGTTGCATTCTGTTATGAATTTGTTGCATTTTTAGCATTAGTAGATACTTTTATGGGAAATTCATATGACAGAAGCTTGTGAATTCAATTGTTGAAATTCACATTCAATAAAATGGGATCGTTCAAAATCTATTTTACAGAATTCAAAAAAAAGTTCTAGGGTAGGTCTGGTAACTGGAACCACACATATATTTTTATTTTGCCTTAACTCTAACGGTAATCATGGCAATTGGTCATATTTTTATTGAGGTAGGTTTTGAAAATTAGTGTCAAAATGCAGGCAATCATATAGTTCATTTTTTATGCCAGCACCGAAGCTGAGGGGGCATGAAGTGTTGTCCATCTGTATGTATGTACGTCCCGAAAGTGGTTATCGTTTTTAATTTTAAGTTGCCTAGACAAAATGTTTTGAAACTTATATAAAATGCTAATTACCACAAAACACTGTTCAGCTTTGAATTTAAACTGCATCAATTAACTGTTTGTCTCTTTATAATGTTAATATATGCAAGCAGGGTCATCATCTGTGTCACATTCTCCATTTATTTTGAACAATTGCTTTTAGAGTCAGAACTAGGTACTGATGCCCCAACATTCCATTAGTTGATTTGTTTGTTGATGCATTTTTTGTCTTCATTTGGTTGTATTTTTCAAGCAGTTTAAATCCAACAATCATCTTGACTCTCTCTCATACTGTTCAGTAAAAGACCTCATTCCGGGATTTTCCGTTGCAAGTCTTCTGTATTTTGTAAAACTTAACTTCTTCACCAGTTCCTAGAATTGTATCAACCAGTGTTGTTGTTATTTTGTCTGGAAAAAAACGATTTATTGATTTATAACATTAAAGAAGACTAATGATCAGAATCAATGATTTGTAGATCAAACAGAGAGTTTTTTTTTATATTTTATTGTTTAATGTTGATTATCTGCATAGGGAATCAATTATATTAGGGTATTTTATGACCAAAAGGCTAGTTTAGCTAGTGCATTCTCAGAAAGTAGCCTGGAAACTCCAGACCAATTTAACAAACAAATTTTTTGGAGCAATGCTTCATTTAAACCCAATTTACATTCAGCTGTGCATATATTTGTATACATGTACTTTAATACAGGGCACACATAGGCACTCAACTAGGATGTAATTGGGCTTCCATGCACTTTCTTGCAAAAATCATACATACTAGTTAACATTTAGAATTAGTAAAATTTAGTGCTTTCAGATTGTGGTTAAAAGTACCCCCATCTTTCCTTAAAATACATAATACATTTATTATGGAACAGTAATTTTGCACACTGTTGAAGCATGTTTTGTTTAAATACTATATACAGATATATATCTACCTGTTTGTGTACATATGTTCATAATGGATTCAGTTTCTTCATTTTCCTGACAATCTTTCAAGCCAAAAAGATTCATATTTTCATCTGCATATTAAAAAAAAACATCAGCCAAATAAAAATGTATGTGTGGTTCCAGTTGCATTCTCCAAAAAAGACAGGGTCAGTAGATCTGCATTTTTTTTTTTGAATTGTCAAAATCCGGAAAAAAATATCATTCTTTCACTGAGTCTGATTCTGGTATTATACACGCCCCTACCACAAGTTTGCCATTTTTTATATGTTTAGTTGTAAAATAAACAGACATGTTACATTTTTAGTTAATTTTGTTGCATTTTTAGCATTAGTAGATACTTTTATGGGAAATTCATATGACAGAAGCTTGTGAATTCAATTGTTGAAATTCACATTCAATAAAATGGGATCGTTCAAAATCTATTTTACAGAATTCAAAAAAAAGTTCTAGGGTAGGTCTGGTAACTGGAACCACACATATATTTTTATTTTGCCTTAACTCTAACGGTAATCATGGCAATTGGTCATATTTTTATTGAGGTAGGTTTTGAAAATTAGTGTCAAAATGCAGGCAATCATATAGTTCATTTTTTATGCCAGCACCGAAGCTGAGGGGGCATGAAGTGTTGTCCATCTGTATGTATGTACGTCCCGAAAGTGGTTATCGTTTTTAATTTTAAGTTGCCTAGACAAAATGTTTTGAAACTTATATAAAATGCTAATTACCACAAAACACTGTTCAGCTTTGAATTTAAACTGCATCAATTAACTGTTTGTCTCTTTATAATGTTAATATATGCAAGCAGGGTCATCATCTGTGTCACATTCTCCATTTATTTTGAACAATTGCTTTTAGAGTCAGAACTAGGTACTGATGCCCCAACATTCCATTAGTTGATTTGTTTGTTGATGCATTTTTTGTCTTCATTTGGTTGTATTTTTCAAGCAGTTTAAATCCAACAATCATCTTGACTCTCTCTCATACTGTTCAGTAAAAGACCTCATTCCGGGATTTTCCGTTGCAAGTCTTCTGTATTTTGTAAAACTTAACTTCTTCACCAGTTCCTAGAATTGTATCAACCAGTGTTGTTGTTATTTTGTCTGGAAAAAAACGATTTATTGATTTATAACATTAAAGAAGACTAATGATCAGAATCAATGATTTGTAGATCAAACAGAGAGTTTTTTTTTATATTTTATTGTTTAATGTTGATTATCTGCATAGGGAATCAATTATATTAGGGTATTTTATGACCAAAAGGCTAGTTTAGCTAGTGCATTCTCAGAAAGTAGCCTGGAAACTCCAGACCAATTTAACAAACAAATTTTTTGGAACAATGCTTCATTTAAACCCAATTTACATTCAGCTGTGCATATATTTGTATACATGTACTTTAATACAGGGCACACATAGGCACTCAACTAGGATGTAATTGGGCTTCCATGCACTTTCTTGCAAAAATCATACATACTAGTTAACATTTAGAATTAGTAAAATTTAGTGCTTTCAGATTGTGGTTAAAAGTACCCCCATCTTTCCTTAAAATACATAATACATTTATTATGGAACAGTAATTTTGCACACTGTTGAAGCATGTTTTGTTTAAATACTATATACAGATATATATCTACCTGTTTGTGTACATATGTTCATAATGGATTCAGTTTCTTCATTTTCCTGACAATCTTTCAAGCCAAAAAGATTCATATTTTCATCTGCATATTAAAAAAAAACATCAGCCAAATAAAAATGTATGTGTGGTTCCAGTTACATTCTCCAAAAAAGACGGGGTCAGTAGATCTGCATTTTTTTTTTTGAATTGTCAAAATCCGGAAAAAAATATCATTCTTTCACTGAGTCTGATTCTGGTATTATACACGCCCCTACCACAAGTTTGCCATTTTTTATATGTTTAGTTGTAAAATAAACAGACATGTTACATTTTTAGTTAATTTTGTTGCATTCTGTTATGAATTTGTTGCATTTTTAGCATTAGTAGATACTTTTATGGGAAATTCATATGACAGAAGCTTGTGAATTCAATTGTTGAAATTCACATTCAATAAAATGGGATCGTTCAAAATCTATTTTACAGAATTCAAAAAAAAGTTCTAGGGTAGGTCTGGTAACTGGAACCACACATATATTTTTATTTTGCCTTAACTCTAACGGTAATCATGGCAATTGGTCATATTTTAATTGAGGTAGGTTTTGAAAATTAGTGTCAAAATGCAGGCAATCATATAGTTCATTTTTTATGCCAGCACCGAAGCTGAGGGGGCATGAAGTGTTGTCCATCTGTATGTATGTACGTCCCAAAAGTGGTTATCGTTTTTAATTTTAAGTTGCCTCGACAAAATGTTTTGAAACTTATATAAAATGCTAATTACCACAAAACACTGTTCAGCTTTGAATTTAAACTGCATCAATTAACTGTTTGTCCCTTTATAATGTTAATATATGCAAGCAGGGTCATCATCTGTGTCACATTCTCCATTTGTTTTGAACAATTGCTTTACGAGTCAGAACTAGGTACTGATGCCCAAACGTTCCATTAGTTGATTTGTTTGTTGATGCATTTTTTGTCTTCATTTGGTTGTATTTTTCAAGCAGTTTAAATCCAACAATCATCTTGGCTCTCTCATACTGTTCAGTAAATGACCTGTTTCCTGGATTTTCCGTTGCAAGTCTTCTGTATTTTGTAAAACTTAACTTCTTTACCAGTTCCTAGAATTGTATCAACCAGTGTTGTTGTTATTTTGTCTGGAAAAAACGATTTATTGATTTATAACATTAAAGAAGACTAATGATCAGACTCAATGATTTGTAGATCAAACAGAGAGTTTTTTTTTTATATTTTATTGTTTAATGTTGATTATCTGCATAGGGAATCTATTATATTAGGGTATTTTATGACCAAAAGGCTAGTTTAGCTAGTGCATTCTCAGAAAGTAGCCTGGAAACTCCAGACCAATTTAACAAACAAATTTTTTGGAGCAATGCTTCATTTAAACCCAATTTACATTCAGCTGTGCATATATTTGTGTACATGTACTTTAATACAGGGCACGCATAGGCACTCAACTAGGATGTAATTGGGCTTGCATGCACTTTCTTTCAAAAATCATACATACTAGTTAACATTTAGAATTAGTAAAATTTAGTGCTTTCAGATTGTGGTTAAAAGTACCCCCATCTTTCCTTAAAATACATAATACATTAATGGAACAGTAATTTTGCACACTGTTGAAGCATGTTTTGTTTAAATACTATATACAGATATATATCTACCTGTTTGTGTACATATGTTCATAATGGATTCAGTTTCTTCATGTTCCTGACAATCTTTCAAGCCAAAATGATCCAAATCTTCATCTGCATAATAAAAAAAAAACTTAGGCAAAATAAAAATATATGCGTGGTTCCAGTTACATTCTCAAAAAAAGATACTGTCCGTAGGTTGGCATTGTTTTTTGGGATTATCAAAATCCAGGGAAAAAACATGTGTTCACAGAGTCTGATTCTGGTATTGTACACGCCCCTACAGCAAGTTTTCCATTTTCTATATTTTTCGGTTTTAAAATAAACAGACATGTTATGTTTTTTAGTTAATTTTGTTGCATTCTGTTAAGAATTTGTTGCATTTTAAGCCTTAGTGGATAATTTTATTGGAAATTCATATGACAGAAGTCTGTGAATTTAATTATTGAAATTCACATTCCATAAAATGGGATTGTTCAAAATTTATTTTACAGAATTAAAAAAAGTTCTAGGGTGGGTCTGGTAACTGGAACCACACATATATATTTTTTTATTTTGCCTTGTTATTCTAACAGCAATTGACATGGCAATTGGTCATATTTTAATCGAGGTATGTTTTGAAAATTAGAATCAAAATGAAGGCAATAGTATGTGATTTAAAAAGAATTTTTGTTTCTGATTGTTGTTAACATATAGTTCATTTTTTATGCCAGCACCGAAGCTGAGGGGGCATTAAGTTTTGTCCACCTGTTTGTACATCCCAAAAGTGGTTACCATTTTTAACTTTGCCTCAACCAAATGTTTTAAAACTGATACACAATGCTAGTTACCACAAAACACTGTTTAGCTTTGAATTTAAATGGCATCAATTTTACTGTTTGTCCCTTTATAATGTTATATGCAAGCAGGGTCATCACCTTTGTCACATTCTCCATTTATTTTGAACAATTGTTTTTAGAATCAGAACTAGGTACTGATGCCCTGACATTCCAGTAGTTGATTTGTTTGTTGATGCAGTGCATTTTTTGTCTTCATTTTGTGGTATTTTCCAAGCAGTTTAAATCCAACAATCATCTTTGCTCTCTCATACTGTTCAGTAAAAGACCTGTTTCCTGGATTTTCCGTCGCAAGTCTTCACTTTTAATTTCTTCACTGGTTCCTAGAATTGAATCCACCAGTCGTGTTGTTATTTTGTCTGGAAAAAACGATTTATTTATTTATAACATTAAAGAAGACTAATGATAAGACTCAATGATTTGTAGATCAAATAGAGTTTTTGTTTTATATATTTTTATGTTTCATGTTGATTATCTGGATAAGGAATTATTGTCTCATGGACACATTCTCCATTTATTTCTTCTATAGCAAATTAGAACTATCAAAAAATAACAAGGATTTTATAAGATTTTCAAACATGGCTTTTTAAACTATATGTTATAAAATTATGAAAAGATAAGTAGGGGTTAGTGGGCAAAATTGTAATGGCACTTCATGGATAAAACCAGAGGATTCTGAATATCTGACAAAAAGTTAAAAAAAAAAAAAAAAAGAGCAACCATCCATTAGTATTAGTGTGTTTACGACACTTGGACAAAGACCATACATATATCCCCTGTGGTGCAAAGTAGACAAAAAGAAATTCTGACCAATCTCTTAAAACTTTCAAGCCTAATGCACATTATATTCCTATCAATTTTTATTTTAAGATGAAAATAAAATTTGTTTTCAACAGAGGAATTATATACCTACTAATTTATGAAAAGTATTAGACCACCCAGTTTTACTCCCCATCCATGAAAACAGTTGTGTAATAACCTAAAAAGGAATTAAAATTGACACAAATTATATATTTTACGAAAGTGTTAAATTGTCAGCTAAAAAAAATAGTTTTCTAACTTAATATTTAGCATAGCATCAATACCAGTTTAATATCTAAAAAAGCTGGAAAAACAAAACATGTTTTGATTTTGTTTCAATATAAATTTTTTTCTCAATAATCTATGAGTTATCTCCCATTGAATGACACATTCTTGCTGTTTGTTGTACTAGCCTCCCCCTGAAGGTGAAATCTGTCTCAGAATTTACTTTTCAAATGATATATTATTTTATTCATGTTACTGGAAACCAAATATCAAACTGATAAAATAACTTTCTTGGTACTTTGAATGTGGAAAATAAATGTTTGTTGTCGTATTTTCATAAAATTCTATGAAGATTTGACAAAGTAATTGATAACTGAAATATTTTAACCTTAAAATTATCTTAGTTGAAAACTGCGAAAAAAAGTCCATATATTACATCGGTTGCAATGAAGGACTGTGATTTCCAAGTTAAATAAAAATTGATAATTTCCCTACTCTGATTTTATATACAGCAATGAGTGTGGCCAAAGACATTGTGGATGATGCCTGCATCAAAACAAAATTGAAATATATAGAAAAAAATATTTCTTGTATTTTCTTCTTAGAAAAATAAAAAATGATATTATGTTCATTCTGTATAAAAAAAAGCACAAGTTCATAAATGTAAACGTTTTATTCCCCTAGATGAGAATTCAGCATCGATTTTACAATTGTAAAAACTAAATACCTTCATCATCATTATCTGGCAACTTCAGGTCTAGGACTGTATGTTCCTCTGGGCTCCATCCGTCTGTAAAGTTCCTCTGGGCTTCATCCGTCTGTAATATAAACACGTCCACGGGACAGCCTGGTATGATGTAAATAACCTGCTCCTGGAATCTGTTACAAAAACAAAATAAGTTCAAAAATATTAAACCAAATATAAAACTTTTGAAAAATTTGCTTCTTTAGTTTTTACTTTTATTTTTGGCAGCTATCATCATTGATCAATTGTACTTTTTGACTATATTTCATTAACTTGTTTCATTTTAAATCTATATTTCAATCAGTAATGAAGACGGTTTAATGATATAATCATTATTTCCGAAATTAATGTGTGTGTCAAATTATCAGAAGTTGGTGGCTAACCAAAACAATCTGATGTATACATTTTGAACAGAAATGACTAAAATTCAACTGAATTTCAAACAATCTAAATCAAGTAATATTTTCCAAATTACTTTAAAAAAAATCGACTAAATATGTAGATATCCAAATTGACAATCCGAAACTTTACTTTCATACAGGTGAGACTATTAGAGAAAGGGTTTCCAAATTGTCAATGTTAAGAGACTATTTGCTGTTATAATTAATTCAGAAATTAATGTGATGCATGTTTTAATTCAAATCCTAAATTGGAGTACAAGTATACTTTTTTCATTAGAGTATAAATTTGAAAAGAAATTTTGGACTAATTTGTAATAAATTTTCAAGCTGTTTCTCCAGGGAAAACTGATTTTATTACCTTACAACTATTAACAGTTTAAGTACAATTGTAACAACAAAATACCTACATCATCATCTTGGCATCTACAATTTAATCATCTCCATGTCTAGGACTGTACTGTCTTCTTCTTCTCTGTTGGCTCCCGTCTATCTGTAATACATATTCAAATTATTTTAATATCTATTAGACAACTATTAATAAAAAAAAAAAATATACTTACTTTCCGATGCATATGTTACCTGTCCTGACGTAAATATCCTGGGGCTGGTATCTGAAACAAAAACAAAGTAAGTTCAAAAATATTGAACCAAATATAAAACTTAAAAAATTTGCTACTTTAATTTGTTTTTCTTTCAAAATATCTATAAAGAAAAACTGGCATTAATGGCAGCCATCATCATTGGTCAATTGCTCTTTTTGACTGTATATCATTAACTTATTTTCATTTTAAATCTATATTTCAATCAGTAATGAAGACAGTTTAATGATATAATCATTACTTCCGAAATTAATGTGCGTGTCAAATTATCAGAAGTTGGTGGCTAACCAAAACAATCTGATGTATACATTTTGAACAGAAATGATTAAAATTCAAACTGAATTTCAAACAATCTAAATCAAGTCATATTTTCCAAATTACTTTAAAAAAAATCGACTAAATATGTAGATATCCAAATTGACAATCCGAAACTTTACTTTCATACAGGTGAGACTATTAGAGAAAGGGTTTCCAAATTGTCAATGTTAAGAGACTATTTGCTGTTATAATTAATTCAGAAATTAATGTGATGCATGTTTTAATTCAAATCCTAAATTGGAGTACAAGTATACTTTTTTCATTAGAGTATAAATTTGAAAAGAAATTTTGGACTAATTTGTAATAAATTTTCAAGCTGTTTCTCCAGGGAAAACTGATTTTATTACCTTACAAACTATTAACAGTTTAAGTACAATTGTAACATCAAAATACCTACATCATCATCTTGGCATCTACAATTTAATCATCTCCATGTCTAGGACTGTACTGTCTTCTTCTTCTCTGTTGGCTCCCGTCTATCTGTAATACATATTCAAATTATTTTAATATCTATTAGACAACTATTAATAAATAAAAAAAAATATACTTACTTTCCGATGCATATGTTACCTGTCCTGACGTAAATATCCTGGTGCTGGTATCTGAAACAAAAACAAAATAAGTTCAAAAATATTGAACCAAATATAAAACTTAAAAAATTTGCTACTTTAATTTGTTTTTCTTTCAAAATATCTATAAAGAAAAACTGGCATTAATGGCAGCCATCATCATTGGTCAATTGCTCTTTTTGACTGTATATCATTAACTTATTTTCATTTTAAATCTATATTTCAATCAGTAATGAAGACAGTTTAATGATATAATCATTACTTCCGAAATTAATGTGCGTGTCAAATTATCAGAAGTTGGTGGCTAACCAAAACAATCTGATGTATACATTTTGAACAGAAATGATTAAAATTCAACTGAATTTCAAACAATCTAAATCAAGTCATATTTTCCAAATTACTTTAAAAAAAAATCGACTAAATATGTAGATATCCAAATTGACAATCGGAAACTTTACTTTCGTACAGGTGAGACTATTAGAGAAAGGGTTTCCAAATTGTCAATGTTAAGAGACTATTTGCTGTTATAATTAATTCAGAAATTAATGTGATGCATGTTTTAATTCAAATCCTAAATTGGAGTACAAGTATACTTTTTTCATTAGAGTATAAATTTGAAAAGAAATTTTGGACTAATTTGTAATAAATTTTCAAGCTGTTTCTCCAGGGAAAACTGATTTTATTACCTTACAACTATTAACAGTTTAAGTACAATTGTAACAACAAAATACCTACATCATCATCTTGGCATCTACAATTTAATCATCTCCATGTCTAGGACTGTACTGTCTTCTTCTTCTCTGTTGGCTCCCGTCTATCTGTAATACATATTCAAATTATTTTAATATCTATTAGACAACTATTAATAAATTAAAAAAAAATATACTTACTTTCCGATGCATATGTTACCTGTCCTGACGTAAATATCCTGGGGCTGGTATCTGAAACAAAAACAAAATAAGTTCAAAAATATTGAACCAAATATAAAACTTAAAAAATTTGCTACTTAATTTGTTTTTCTTCCAAAATATCTATAAAGAAAAACTGGCATTAATGGCAGCCATCATCATTGGTCAATTGCTCTTTTTGACTGTATATCATTAACTTATTTTCATTTTAAATCTATATTTCAATCAGTAATGAAGACGGTTTAATGATATAATCATTATTTCCGAAATTAATGTGCGTGTCTCATTATCAGAAGTTGGTGGCTAACCAAAACAATCTGATGTATACATTTTGAACAGAAATGATTAAAATTCAACTGAATTTCAAACAATCTAAATCAAGTCATATTTTCCAAATTACTTTAAAAAAAAAAAGACTAAATATGTAGATATCCAAATTGACAATCGGAAACTTTACTTTCGTACAGGTGAGACTATTAGAGAAAGGGTTTCCAAATTGTCATTGTTAAGAGACTATTTGCTGTTATAATTAATTCAGAAATTAATGTGATGCATGTTTTAATTCAAATCCTAAATTGGAGTACAAGTATACTTTTTTCATTAGAGTATAAATTTGAAAAGAAATTTTGGACTAATTTGTAATAAATTTTCAAGCTGTTTCTCCAGGGAAAACTGATTTTATTACCTAACAACTATTAACAGTTTAAGTACAATTGTAACAACAAAATACCTACATCATCATCTTGGCATCTACAATTTAATCATCTCCATGTCTAGGACTGTACTGTCTTCTTCTTCTCTGTTGGCTCCCGTCTATCTGTAATACATATTCAAATTATTTTAATATCTATTAGACAACTATTAATAAATAAAAAAAAATATACTTACTTTCCGATGCATATGTTACCTGTCCTGACGTAAATATCCTGGGGCTGGTATCTGAAACAAAAACAAAATAAGTTCAAAAATATTGAACCAAATATAAAACTTAAAAAATTTGCTACTTAATTTGTTTTTCTTCCAAAATATCTATAAAGAAAAACTGGCATTAATGGCAGCCATCATCATTGGTCATTTGCTCTTTTTGACTGTATATCATTAACTTATTTTCATTTTAAATCTATATTTCAATCAGTAATGAAGACAGTTTAATGATATAATCATTACTTCCGAAATTAATGTGCGTGTCTAATTATCAGAAGTTGGTGGCTAACCAAAACAATCTGATGTACACATTTTGAACAGAAATGATTAAAATTCAAACTGAATTTCAAACAATCTAAATCAAGTCATATTTTCCAAATTACTTTAAAAAAAAATCGACTAAATATGTAGATATCCAAATTGACAATCCGAAACTTTACTTTCGTACAGGTGAGACTATTAGAGAAAGGGTTTCCAAATTGTCAATGTTAAGAGACTATTTGCTGTTATAATTAATTCAGAAATTACTGTGATGCATGTTTTAATTCAAATCCTAAATTGGAGTACAAGTATACTTTTTTCATTAGAGTATAAATTTGAAAAGAAATTTTGGACTAATTTGTAATAAATTTTCAAGCTGTTTCTCCAGGGAAAACTGATTTTATTACCTTACAATTATTAACAGTTTAAGTACAATTGTAACAACAAAATACCTACATCATCATCTTGGCATCTACAATTTAATCATCTCCATGTCTAGGACTGTACTGTCTTCTTCTTCTCTGTTGGCTCCCGTCTATCTGTAATACATATTCAAATTATTTTAATATCTATTAGACAACTATTAATAAATAAAAAAAAATATACTTACTTTCCGATGCATATGTTACCTGTCCTGACGTAAATATCCTGGGGCTGGTATCTGAAACAAAAACAAAATAAGTTCAAAAATATTGAACCAAATATAAAACTTAAAAAATTTGCTACTTTAATTTGTTTTTTTTTCAAAATATCTATAAAGAAAAACTGGCATTAATGGCAGCCATCATCATTGGTCAATTGCTCTTTTTGACTGTATATCATTAACTTATTTTCATTTTAAATCTATATTTCAATCAGTAATGAAGACGGTTTAATGATATAATCATTATTTCCGAAATTAATGTGCGTGTCAAATTATCAGAAGTTGGTGGCTAACCAAAACAATCTGATGTATACATTTTGAACAGAAATGATTAAAATTCAACTGAATTTCAAACAATCTAAATCAAGTCATATTTTCCAAATTACTTTAAAAAAAAATCGACTAAATATGTAGATATCCAAATTGACAATCGGAAACTTTACTTTCGTACAGGTGAGACTATTAGAGAAAGGGTTTCCAAATTGTCATTGTTAAGAGACTATTTGCTGTTATAATTATTTCAGAAATTACTGTGATGCATGTTTTAATTCAAATCCTAAATTGGAGTACAAGTATACTTTTTTCATTAGAGTATAAATTTGAAAAGAAATTTTGGACTAATTTGTAATAAATTTTCAAGCTGTTTCTCCAGAGAAAACTGATTTTATTACCTTACAACTATTAACAGTTTAAGTACAATTGTAACAACAAAATACCTACATCATCATCTTGGCATCTACAATTTAATCATCTCCATGTCTAGGACTGTACTGTCTTCTTCTTCTCTGTTGGCTCCCGTCTATCTGTAATACATATTCAAATTATTTTAATATCTATTAGACAACTATTAATAAATAAAAAAAAATATACTTACTTTCCGATGCATATGTTACCTGTCCTGACGTAAATATCCTGGGGCTGGTATCTGAAACAAAAACAAAATAAGTTCAAAAATATTGAACCAAATATAAAACTTAAAAAATTTGCTACTTTAATTTGTTTTTCTTTCAAAATATCTATAAAGAAAAACTGGCATTAATGGCAGCCATCATCATTGGTCAATTGCTCTTTTTGACTGTATATCATTAACTTATTTTCATTTTAAATCTATATTTCAATCAGTAATGAAGACGGTTTAATGATATAATCATTATTTCCGAAATTAATGTGCGTGTCAAATTATCAGAAGTTGGTGGCTAACCAAAACAATCTGATGTATACATTTTGAACAGAAATGATTAAAATTCAACTGAATTTCAAACAATCTAAATCAAGTCATATTTTCCAAATTACTTTAAAAAAAAATCGACTAAATATGTAGATATCCAAATTGACAATCGGAAACTTTACTTTCGTACAGGTGAGACTATTAGAGAAAGGGTTTCCAAATTGTCATTGTTAAGAGACTATTTGCTGTTATGATTAATTCAGAAATTAATGTGATGCATGTTTTAATTCCAATCCTAAATTGGAGTACAAGTATACTTTTTTCATTAGAGTATAAATTTGAAAAGAAATTTTGGACTAATTTGTAATAAATTTTCAAGCTGTTTCTCCAGAGAAAACTGATTTTATTACCTTACAACTATTAACAGTTTAAGTACAATTGTAACAACAAAATACCTACATCATCATCTTGGCATCTACAATTTAATCATCTCCATGTCTAGGACTGTACTGTCTTCTTCTTCTTTGTTGGCTCCCGTCTATCTGTAATACATATTCAAATTATTTTAATATCTATTAGATAACTATTAATAAATAAAAAAAAATATACTTACTTTCCGATGCATATGTTACCTGTCCTGACGTAAATATCCTGGGGCTGGTATCTGAAACAAAAACAAAATAAGTTCAAAAATATTGAACCAAATATAAAACTTAAAAAATTTGCTACTTTAATTTGTTTTTCTTTCAAAATATCTATAAAGAAAAACTGGCATTAATGGCAGCCATCATCATTGGTCATTTGCTCTTTTTGACTGTATATCATTAACTTATTTTCATTTTAAATCTATATTTCAATCAGTAATGAAGACAGTTTAATGATATAATCATTACTTCCGAAATTAATGTGTGTGTCAAATTATCAGAAGTTGGTGGCTAACCAAAACAATCTGATGTATACATTTTGAACAGAAATGATTAAAATTCAAACTGAATTTCAAACAATCTAAATCAAGTCATATTTTCCAAATTACTTTAAAAAAAAATCGACTAAATATGTAGATATCCAAATTGACAATCCGAAACTTTACTTTCATACAGGTGAGACTATTAGAGAAAGGGTTTCCAAATTGTCAATGTTAAGAGACTATTTGCTGTTATAATTAATTCAGAAATTAATGTGATGCATGTTTTAATTCCAATCCTAAATTGGAGTACAAGTATACTTTTTTCATTAGAGTATAAATTTGAAAAGAAATTTTGGACTAATTTGTAATAAATTTTCAAGCTGTTTCTCCAGGGAAAACTGATTTTATTACCTAACAACTATTAACAGTTTAAGTACAATTGTAACAACAAAATACCTACATCATCATCTTGGCATCTACAATTTAATCATCTCCATGTCTAGGACTGTACTGTCTTCTTCTTCTCTGTTGGCTCCCGTCTATCTGTAATACATATTCAAATTATTTTAATATCTATTAGACAACTATTAATAAATAAAAAAAAATATACTTACTTTCCGATGCATATGTTACCTGTCCTGACGTAAATATCCTGGGGCTGGTATCTGAAACAAAAACAAAATAAGTTCAAAAATATTGAACCAAATATAAAACTTAAAAAATTTGCTACTTAATTTTTTTTTCTTCCAAAATATCTATAAAGAAAAACTGGCATTAATGGCAGCCATCATCATTGGTCATTTGCTCTTTTTGACTGTATATCATTAACTTATTTTCATTTTAAATCTATATTTCAATCAGTAATGAAGACAGTTTAATGATATAATCATTACTTCCGAAATTAATGTGCGTGTCTAATTATCAGAAGTTGGTGGCTAACCAAAACAATCTGATGTACACATTTTGAACAAAAATGATTAAAATTCAAACTGAATTTCAAACAATCTAAATCAAGTCATATTTTCCAAATTACTTTAAAAAAAAATCGACTAAATATGTAGATATCCAAATTGACAATCGGAAACTTTACTTTCGTACAGGTGAGACTATTAGAGAAAGGGTTTCCAAATTGTCATTGTTAAGAGACTATTTGCTGTTATAATTATTTCAGAAATTACTGTGATGCATGTTTTAATTCAAATCCTAAATTGGAGTACAAGTATACTTTTTTCATTAGAGTATAAATTTGAAAAGAAATTTTGGACTAATTTGTAATAAATTTTCAAGCTGTTTCTCCAGAGAAAACTGATTTTATTACCTTACAACTATTAACAGTTTAAGTACAATTGTAACAACAAAATACCTACATCATCATCTTGGCATCTACAATTTAATCATCTCCATGTCTAGGACTGTACTGTCTTCTTCTTCTCTGTTGGCTCCCGTCTATCTGTAATACATATTCAAATTATTTTAATATCTATCAGACAACTATTAATAAATAAAAAAAAATATACTTACTTTCCGATGCATATGTTACCTGTCCTGACGTAAATATCCTGGGGCTGGTATCTGAAACAAAAACAAAATAAGTTCAAAAATATTGAACCAAATATAAAACTTAAAAAATTTGCTACTTTAATTTGTTTTTCTTTCAAAAATCTATAAAGAAAAACTGGCATTAATGGCAGCCATCATCATTGGTCAATTGCTCTTTTTGACTGTATATCATTAACTTATTTTCATTTTAAATCTATATTTCAATCAGTAATGAAGACGGTTTAATGATATAATCATTATTTCCGAAATTAATGTGCGTGTCAAATTATCAGAAGTTGGTGGCTAACCAAAACAATCTGATGTATACATTTTGAACAGAAATGATTAAAATTCAACTGAATTTCAAACAATCTAAATCAAGTCATATTTTCCAAATTACTTTAAAAAAAAATCGACTAAATATGTAGATATCCAAATTGACAATCGGAAACTTTACTTTCGTACAGGTGAGACTATTAGAGAAAGGGTTTCCAAATTGTCATTGTTAAGAGACTATTTGCTGTTATGATTAATTCAGAAATTAATGTGATGCATGTTTTAATTCCAATCCTAAATTGGAGTACAAGTATACTTTTTTCATTAGAGTATAAATTTGAAAAGAAATTTTGGACTAATTTGTAATAAATTTTCAAGCTGTTTCTCCAGAGAAAACTGATTTTATTACCTTACAACTATTAACAGTTTAAGTACAATTGTAACAACAAAATACCTACATCATCATCTTGGCATCTACAATTTAATCATCTCCATGTCTAGGACTGTACTGTCTTCTTCTTCTCTGTTGGCTCCCGTCTATCTGTAATACATATTCAAATTATTTTAATATCTATTAGATAACTATTAATAAATAAAAAAAAATATACTTACTTTCCGATGCATATGTTACCTGTCCTGACGTAAATATCCTGGGGCTGGTATCTGAAACAAAAACAAAATAAGTTCAAAAATATTGAACCAAATATAAAACTTAAAAAATTTGCTACTTTAATTTGTTTTTCTTTCAAAATATCTATAAAGAAAAACTGGCATTAATGGCAGCCATCATCATTGGTCATTTGCTCTTTTTGACTGTATATCATTAACTTATTTTCATTTTAAATCTATATTTCAATCAGTAATGAAGACAGTTTAATGATATAATCATTACTTCCGAAATTAATGTGCGTGTCAAATTATCAGAAGTTGGTGGCTAACCAAAACAATCTGATGTATACATTTTGAACAGAAATGATTTAAATTCAAACTGAATTTCAAACAATCTAAATCAAGTCATATTTTCCAAATTACTTTTAAAAAAAATCGACTAAATATGTAGATATCCAAATTGACAATCCGAAACTTTACTTTCATACAGGTGAGACTATTAGAGAAAGGGTTTCCAAATTGTCAATGTTAAGAGACTATTTGCTGTTATAATTAATTCAGAAATTAATGTGATGCATGTTTTAATTCAAATCCTAAATTGGAGTACAAGTATACTTTTTTCATTAGAGTATAAATTTGAAAAGAAATTTTGGACTAATTTGTAATAAATTTTCAAGCTGTTTCTCCAGGGAAAACTGATTTTATTACCTTACAACTATTAACAGTTTAAGTACAATTGTAACAACAAAATACCTACATCATCATCTTGGCATCTACAATTTAATCATCTCCATGTCTAGGACTGTACTGTCTTCTTCTTCTCTGTTGGCTCCCGTCTATCTGTAATACATATTCAAATTATTTTAATATCTATTAGACAACTATTAATAAATAAAAAAAAATATACTTACTTTCCGATGCATATGTTACCTGTCCTGACGTAAATATCCTGGGGCTGGTATCTGAAACAAAAACAAAATAAGTTCAAAAATATTGAACCAAATATAAAACTTAAAAAATTTGCTACTTTAATTTGTTTTTCTTTCAAAATATCTATAAAGAAAAACTGGCATTAATGGCAGCCATCATCATTGGTCATTTGCTCTTTTTGACTGTATATCATTAACTTATTTTCATTTTAAATCTATATTTCAATCAGTAATGAAGACAGTTTAATGATATAATCATTACTTCCGAAATTAATGTGCGTGTCTAATTATCAGAAGTTGGTGGCTAACCAAAACAATCTGATGTACACATTTTGAACAGAAATGATTAAAATTCAAACTGAATTTCAAACAATCTAAATCAAGTCATATTTTCCAAATTACTTTAAAAAAAAATCGACTAAATATGTAGATATCCAAATTGACAATCCGAAACTTTACTTTCGTACAGGTGAGACTATTAGAGAAAGGGTTTCCAAATTGTCAATGTTAAGAGACTATTTGCTGTTATAATTAATTCAGAAATTAATGTGATGCATGTTTTAATTCAAATCCTAAATTGGAGTACAAGTATACTTTTTTCATTAGAGTATAAATTTGAAAAGAAATTTTGGACTAATTTGTAATAAATTTTCAAGCTGTTTCTCCAGGGAAAACTGATTTTATTACCTTACAACTATTAACAGTTTAAGTACAATTGTAACAACAAAATACCTACATCATCATCTTGGCATCTACAATTTAATCATCTCCATGTCTAGGACTGTACTGTCTTCTTCTTCTCTGTTGGCTCCCGTCTATCTGTAATACATATTCAAATTATTTTAATATCTATTAGATAACTATTAATAAATAAAAAAAAATATACTTACTTTCCGATGCATATGTTACCTGTCCTGACGTAAATATCCTGGGGCTGGTATCTGAAACAAAAACAAAATAAGTTCAAAAATATTGAACCAAATATAAAACTTAAAAAATTTGCTACTTTAATTTGTTTTTCTTTCAAAATATCTATAAAGAAAAACTGGCATTAATGGCAGCCATCATCATTGGTCATTTGCTCTTTTTGACTGAATATCATTAACTTATTTTCATTTTAAATCTATATTTCAATCAGTAATGAAGACAGTTTAATGATATAATCATTACTTCCGAAATTAATGTGCGTGTCTAATTATCAGAAGTTGGTGGCTAACCAAAACAATCTGATGTACACATTTTGAACAGAAATGATTAAAATTCAAACTGAATTTCAAACAATCTAAATCAAGTCATATTTTCCAAATTACTTTAAAAAAAAATCGACTAAATATGTAGATATCCAAATTGACAATCCGAAACTTTACTTTCGTACAGGTGAGACTATTAGAGAAAGGGTTTCCAAATTGTCAATGTTAAGAGACTATTTGCTGTTATAATTAATTCAGAAATTAATGTGATGCATGTTTTAATTCAAATCCTAAATTGGAGTACAAGTATACTTTTTTCATTAGAGTATAAATTTGAAAAGAAATTTTGGACTAATTTGTAATAAATTTTCAAGCTGTTTCTCCAGGGAAAACTGATTTTATTACCTTACAACTATTAACAGTTTAAGTACAATTGTAACAACAAAATACCTACATCATCATCTTGGCATCTACAATTTAATCATCTCCATGTCTAGGACTGTACTGTCTTCTTCTTCTCTGTTGGCTCCCGTCTATCTGTAATACATATTCAAATTATTTTAATATCTATTAGACAACTATTAATAAATAAAAAAAAATATACTTACTTTCCGATGCATATGTTACCTGTCCTGACGTAAATATCCTGGGGCTGGTATCTGAAACAAAAACAAAATAAGTTCAAAAATATTGAACCAAATATAAAACTTAAAAAATTTGCTACTTTAATTTGTTTTTCTTTCAAAATATCTATAAAGAAAAACTGGCATTAATGGCAGCCATCATCATTGGTCAATTGCTCTTTTTGACTGTATATCATTAACTTATTTTCATTTTAAATCTATATTTCAATCAGTAATGAAGACGGTTTAATGATATAATCATTATTTCCGAAATTAATGTGCGTGTCAAATTATCAGAAGTTGGTGGCTAACCAAAACAATCTGATGTATACATTTTGAACAGAAATGATTAAAATTCAACTGAATTTCAAACAATCTAAATCAAGTCATATTTTCCAAATTACTTTAAAAAAAAAATCGACTAAATATGTAGATATCCAAATTGACCCTCGGAAACTTTACTTTCGTACAGGTGAGACTATTAGAGAAAGGGTTTCCAAATTGTCATTGTTAAGAGACTATTTGCTGTTATGATTAATTCAGAAATTAATGGGATGCATGTTTTAATTCAAATCCTAAATTGGAGTACAAGTATACTTTTTTCATTAGAGTATAAATTTGAAAAGAAATTTTGGACTAATTTGTAATAAATTTTCAAGCTGTTTCTCCAGGGAAAACTGATTTTATTACCTTACAACTATTAACAGTTTAAGTACAATTGTAACAACAAAATACCTACATCATCATCTTGGCATCTACAATTTAATCATCTCCATGTCTAGGACTGTACTGTCTTCTTCTTCTCTGTTGGCTCCCGTCTATCTGTAATACATATTCAAATTATTTTAATATCTATTAGACAACTATTAATAAATAAAAAAAAATATACTTGCTTTCCGATGCATATGTTACCTGTCCTGACGTAAATATCCTGGGGCTGGTATCTGAAACAAAAACAAAATAAGTTCAAAAATATTGAACCAAATATAAAACTTAAAAAATTTGCTACTTTAATTTGTTTTTCTTTCAAAATATCTATAAAGAAAAACTGGCATTAATGGCAGCCATCATCATTGGTCAATTGCTCTTTTTGACTGTATATCATTAACTTATTTTCATTTTAAATCTATATTTCAATCAGTAATGAAGACGGTTTAATGATATAATCATTATTTCCGAAATTAATGTGCGTGTCAAATTATCAGAAGTTGGTGGCTAACCAAAACAATCTGATGTATACATTTTGAACAGAAATGATTAAAATTCAACTGAATTTCAAACAATCTAAATCAAGTCATATTTTCCAAATTACTTTAAAAAAAAATCGACTAAATATGTAGATATCCAAATTGACAATCGGAAACTTTACTTTCGTACAGGTGAGACTATTAGAGAAAGGGTTTCCAAATTGTCAATGTTAAGAGACTATTTGCTGTTATAATTAATTCAGAAATTAATGTGATGCATGTTTTAATTCAAATCCTAAATTGGAGTACAAGTATACTTTTTTCATTAGAGTATAAATTTGAAAAGAAATTTTGGACTAATTTGTAATAAATTTTCAAGCTGTTTCTCCAGGGAAAACTGATTTTATTACCTTACAACTATTAACAGTTTAAGTACAATTGTAACAACAAAATACCTACATCATCATCTTGGCATCTACAATTTAATCATCTCCATGTCTAGGACTGTACTGTCTTCTTCTTCTCTGTTGGCTCCCGTCTATCTGTAATACATATTCAAATTATTTTAATATCTATTAGACAACTATTAATAAATAAAAAAAAATATACTTACTTTCCGATGCATATGTTACCTGTCCTGACGTAAATATCCTGGGGCTGGTATCTGAAACAAAAACAAAATAAGTTCAAAAATATTGAACCAAATCTGAGACTACTATCTCAGACCAAATATAAAACTTAAAAAATTTGCTACTTGAATTTTGTTTTTCTTTCAAAATATCTATAAAGAAAAACTGGCATTAATGGCAGCCATCATCATTCTTCAATTGCTCTTTTTGACTGAATATCATTAACTTATTTTCATTTTAAATCTATATTTCAATCAGTAATGAAGACGGTTTAATGATATAATCATTATTTCCGAAATTAATGTGCGTGTCAAATTATCAGAAGTTGGTGGCTAACCAAAACAATCTAATGTATACATTTTGAACAGAAATGATTAAAATTCAACTGAATTTCAAACACTCTAAATGAAGTCATATTTTCCAAATTACTTAAAAAAAAATCGACTAAATATGTAGATATCCAAATTGACAATCGGAAACTTTACTTTCGTACAGGTGAGACTATTAGAGAAAGGGTTTCCAATTTGTCAATGTGAAGAGACTATTTGCTGTTTTAATTAATTCAGAAATTAATGTGATGCATGTTTTAATGCAAATCCTAAATTTGAGTACAAGTATACTTTTTTCATTAGAGTCTAAATTTGAAAAGAAATTTTGGACTAATTTGTAATAAATTTTCAAGCTGTTTCTCCAGGGAAAACTGATTTTATTACCTTACAACTATTAACAGTTTAAGTACAATTGTAACGAAAAAATACCTACATCATCATCTTGTAAAATTTGTATGTTTAATGTCATTATGAAAATATTAATAAACTTCAAATTACTAAAAACAATATCAAAGCAATGCAAAAAAAAAGAAGAAAAACGTTTTAAAATAAAAAATAACCTAAATTTTTATCTTTCTGAACCGGAAGTTGGGAAGAATAGTTATTTCCAAT